CAGGCTCCTCCCTCACTTTCTCTCTACTGCCCACCTCTCCGCTTCAGCAAGACAAACCTAGATACAATCCCTCTGGTTAATCATCCCATCTCAACCACAGGGTCTCTTGCTGTACCTCAACTTTAAGGATAGATCCCTCTAGGATGTCTTAATTAAATAAGTATATTAAATAGTTGCTAAAAACCCCACATTCCCTATAAATCTTTTTCCAACTCAATAAATTATCACCTCTTTCCACTGGTGCTTGTATACATAATGTAAATTTTTAAAAAATTTATCACATTTACTAGTTTGTACTTGTCTGTGTCTTGGCATAGATTTTTCAATACAGTTGCCATCCCTTACAGAGGCTAATTTCCCCAAAGCAGAGAATAATTTATTTAAAACAATCTATTACAGTATCCTCCATGCAGATACCTTGAGTAAGTAATACCTAAGGACCAGAAAGCACATATACTTTCTTTATAACCAGCACTAAATCATTATCATTTAATGAGAAAATGTGACACTAAATATCTGTAATGAACTGAACTTTGTACATTAAAAAAGGCAAATTTCTTGTTAATGCAAAATGACAACAATGCCTTTTCCTAAAAAACTGTCAAATCTAGGAGATGATTCTTGGTGCCTATACATCCATCTTGCAATTTAAGAAAGTCTAATCTTTCAAAAGGAAAGTGATATGACCAATTTGATCATATTTTATATAATTAGATTTTGTACAGTGTATACATTCAAGTTCCTGCCAGAAAATTATTACCAATCTATCTCTCTAGACTGTTTAACTCAAAATTTTGACATTTTCCTTTATCAAATTAAGAAAATCTTCAACTTCAGCTCTGGGTTCCAGGAGGAGAAAAAAGAATTACCACAGACAATTGTAGTTGTCAGAACTACTAAAAAGACACTATTTCATCACTACATTTTCCTATATTACAGGGTTGTCTGCAAAACATTGGTTTTGCTTTTTATACCTAAAATAATGTATTTCATTTTCTATCCTGAAGATGGCTGAGTCATCAGGGCAGAAATTAGAAGTCACCGGAATGTTTTCTGAAGAAAATGGTGTATAGTAAACAGGAAAGAGTTGAGCATTTCATTGTAAAATGGTTTGAGAAAAATATTAAAAATTTAGATGACTTTAGGAATCATAAAACTACAAAGTGAAGATACAAAAACCATAAGAGAAGATCAGCAAAGCAGGGCCTGTTAGTTGACTCTGAAAATCCTAACTTTATTTGACTCAGTAAAGGATTAAATATCACGGGAAGAATGCGATGGAGAGAGCTAGTCCTGGAAAATAAGTCTTAGTCATGTGATATTTTGAATGAGTCTCAAAGTTGGAAATGGTGTAAGAAGAAAACTGGAAATATTTGGTGTGAGGTAGTCAAGGAAAATTAATAATAGGAGCTCTACAGTGTTCAGACATTTTTGTTATTTCAGTGGGCAAAAAAATAAAGACTGGGGACTCAAACAACTGCAGATCATGATGTATTTCCAGGCTCTCCAAGTGAACAAATAGGAGCTGAGAAATAACAGATTTTGGAATAGTAGGCTGAGCAAACATTATGAACAGTTATTGGCCTACTTTTCTGCCTATGGCTTTTTTCAATAACTCATTTGCTTTTATTTACTTTACAAAGGGTTTATGGTTTAACATTTTATCAAAATAACAATAGGACTGAATGCAGTTTCCAACTGAAGGATGGTTTCAAATGCTAAATGATGAATATGTGATTTCCTCTAATTTTTTATGTAAATTTTTAAAAAGCAATTAATTAGGAGGTCTATAAGATATCTCTAAATAGCCAGAAATACCATCAGGATGGTTTGGAATAGAATCACTTATTTTAGTGACTCAAAAGGAGCTCATGTTTTTAGTGGAACTAACATCAATATTGTGTCATATCAAATTTTTATTTTCAGTAGAGTATTTGGTGATTATCATATTTAACAAATAGTAGACTTGGGGGTAAACAAAAAATACAAAGTGCTTCCTTATATCTACTAAATTTTATATTTGCATTTCCCTCAAATGTACTTTAATAAAAAGTAACAGGTCAAGATGAATTATAATATATAAATGGTCCTTTAAAAATAATCTTGAATATACACAAACAAAGCTTAATAATCTCGTCAGTCCATTTCCCCCTCTGGTGACTTTCTATACCAATTGTCTAGAATCATGAATATATGGCCATGTGTATTTTTATATGCTTGATGGTTCCTTTTCTGTTTAGCGAAGAGAAAAATACCCAGAACATAAAACACATACCATATTGAACAGTTATAAATATTTATGATTGTGACCAAATAAAAGCATATCCTATATGCTTTAAATGCTAATGACAATGAAATCATTGTATTAGGACCATGTTCCAAAAAACTCCTACAATGTTGCAGTTTTTCAAGAGTCTTGTTAATTCTTTGGTACTTGATTTATAACACTGCACATTATACAACACTAAATGATGTTTGAATATCCCAAAGCTAGTTTAAATTAGTACTTGACTTTTAGACATTATTGCATCTGAGGAAAGGGTAAAAAAGTCTTATTTTTTAAAACATCTTCTGTTAAAGTTCATCTGGGGAAAAGGGTAGGGAGGGAAAAATTAATTAAAGCAACAGTGTGAGTTACAAATTAGGAGATCTTCCTTTCACCCAACAATTATTTTTTAAAATCTCATTTTCTGATAATCAAATTCATAAGAATGTGATGGAAATTTCAGTAGTAAGCAGTTGGAAACTTGAAATATACAGGTAATTACATCAGTCATTCTCTTCTAGTTGTATGTATACATAGATACACAAATTCTATTCAGCTACTTAGCCGATCTTTTCAAATAGGTCTAAAATGCGTCACCAACAGGTATGAAAAAAAGTTACTCGGTATTTTAACAATCATTTAATATCACAGTTAACAATGTTAATCTAACTAAAGGAGCTGCATTTTAGGCTGGAGAGATTTTTAAAAGACGGGTGTACTGTAGAAATAATAATGTGTCAGGATACGTGCCTTGTATGTTCTGGCTTTAGTGGACCAAACGGTGGAGAGGGGAAATTGCAAGAATGTAACTGGGAAGGTGGGAGGTGAAGAAGATGGAGTATGCAGCATTCACCACAAGCATCATGGGAATTGGTGAGAGGTAGTATATGAAATTAATCCCACTCCTGTAGATCCCAGACAGCTTTTGAGTGTTTCAGCAAAAGCCTGAAACTAAAATAATCTTCAGATAAATTCAAATAACGGGTTTAAATTAAGTATTCTTGCTTCCTGCCTTTTCTCTGGCTCTTTTTTCCATGACTGAGAAACAGAAGACAGATGTTTGTCCACATCCAAGAAGTGTGAGAGTGTGTGTGTGTGTGTGTGTGTGTGTGTTGGGGGGGTGGGAACTGGTGGGAATCTAGGAAAGGAATTTCAATAGCAAACGTGGAAAGAGAAAAAGCAGCAAAACAGATGAGCCACTGCAGGACTTTGTCTTAGTCATCTTTATAACCCTCATGGCACCTTAGTACAATGCATCACACACAGGGGGGCAATCAATAAATAATGAATTAGGTTTAATTCAATTCATTCACATTTGTATTGCGCCTTGCAGTTACAAAGCACTTTCCACATTTTTTGGGAAAAAAAAAAAACAATAAATAAAGAATACAGAAATAAAAGGAAAGCAAAAGACAAGGAAAACCCACAAGAATAAGCAAAAGACAGAAAACGTTGGGGAAAAGGCAATAAATTACTGAGTTTCTCCCCGTCATTCTGAATCCTTTTCAATCATCCCACCTTTTGTTCCAAAGTACCTAGAGCTTAGAAAGTCTGACTGCTCAGCAAGCCCTAAGAAGGGAGCTTCCTCATCTTTGGGACAGGCATTTTCAGAGACAATAAGCCTTCTGTCTTTGATCTGCTTAGAGTTTGTGCTCAGCTATCATCTCCAGCCAAGCTCTAACATCTTACCAAGTGTGATCAGGGATCTTTTATTCTACCCTATCCATCTCCTCCTCAGCATCTCCAAATCTAAGGGAAGAGTTGGACCCGGGATGGAACGGGGAAGGGGTGGGGGAGGGGATCCTCTACAAACCCCTTAACTCAAACAACAGAGGGAGGTAGTGAGGCAGGAAAGCCTAGGGTCTTGAAGCCCACATCTGAGATTGGGAGGCTAAGTGTCTGTAACTGTGGTTATTAGAAATTGCCAGGGGCAAAAAGAGGGGAGCCTCCAAGATGGAAGAAATGAGAGGGTACCTGAATGCGCATCACTCTACACCTGGCGTCCAGTACCTAATAACAAGCGAGAGGACCGGTGCTTTAACCAGCCTGAACAGGAAAAGGCATAGGACGAGCGGGGCTGCGCCTGAGGGAGCCCACGGACACCAGCGTGCACGCTGTCCTGGGGGAAATATGTTTCTTCATCCCAAAGTAGCATATCTCCTTAAGCATCGTCAGCCCAGTCTGTGGTGAGAGGGGGAGATCTCAGGCTCCACGGAGGGGCGGCAGCGTCCTGACCCCATCATGCGGACTTAAAAGTTGCCAGTAGAGTTGGCGCCAGAGAAGGCACCTGGCAGGGGTGGCCGCCGAGGAGGCGTCAGGTTTCCCAGTAACAAAGGGGCTAGGGAATGGGGGCGCCTAGGGGAGCAGATCCCGGGGTGGGGGGGGCTCCTCCTCGAACTAGGAGACAAGGGTCGCCACGTCCTCCCGGCCTGGAGGCGATCAGGGGAGCAAGCATTAGGAAGATGCTCCGGGATTCCGTTACTCTGCTTCCTGCCTCGGAACCGGGTGGCGCCGGCAGCTCGGTCGCTTTCCGCGCCCCTCTGGCTGAAGACAAAAGGAGATCGGGGACCCCGGGCCCCTGCTAGCTCCAGGAGACCCCTACCGCCCCATGGTTAACCACGATCAGCCGGTGGGAGCCCCGATGGCGAGCTCTGCCGCAACGGGCGCCCCTCCCTCCGACGCGCCGGGACCCTGAGCCCCAGTGCCGCGTCGCCATCCCCACAGCGGGCATTACCTTTCATCCAGTCCACTACTTGACTCGGAGACCATTTGCTCACCGGTTCCATTATGAGAGCCATAGGCACTGGGTCGGTTCCGTGCGGGGCGCGGAGCTCAAACACAAAACGAAGTCAGCAGCCCAAGCCACCCTCAGGTGGGGTCCCTTGCTGGCCGCAGCCTCACTGGGCGGGCTGCGCGGAGAAAGCCGCTTTTGTGTGTCGAGTCTCGCGGCTGCACTGTTAGCCAAAGGCGGGCAGCAGTGCTGGGAGACGCGACCAGGAGAGCAACGCGCCTGGGTGGCGGCTCCGCACTGGGTCTGCTCTGCCCCCGCTGAGAACGCGGCTGCTGCTGCCCCCTTAGCTCCGCTCGGGTCTTCGTCCCAGCGGAGCTTCAGTTCTAGGCTGGAGCTGCCGAGGGTCGTGGCACTGAAGCAGCACCAGCCGCCGCCGCCGCCGCCGCCGCCGCCGCCGCCGCCGCCGCCGCAAGCCCTCAGCTAACTTGCCCGTTCGCCTCGCGCGCGGGAGTGAAGCCCCCGGCACGACCAACTGCCCGGCGGAAATGACGAGGGGCCTCCTGCCACCCAAAATATCTCTCTGCAGCTCTCGGGTGTGAGGCGCGCGCGCCACGAGCCCCCCGCCCGCTCGCTCGCTCGCTCGCTCGCTGCCGCGCGGTCCCGCCCCCGAGACCGGCGGTCGGCGCGCGAGGCGCGTGCGCGTGTCTGCACGAGGCCGGAGCCCAGGGTCTGTCTGGCAGGCAGGCAGGTGCGGGCGGCTCACGGCCTCGCGTTCCCGCCCTAGGGGCCGCCCGGGGACAGAGGCGCGAGAGGAGCGCGTGCGCGGCGGCGGCTCGAGCCCAAGCCCCACCCCAAGCCAGGCCTGGAGCCTGGGGTCAGTCAGTCAGTTAGGTGAGAGCAGCTGGAGCTCGTCTCGAAGGGGCCTCCGAGGGGGCCACGGCGGCGGCAGCAGCGGCGGCGAGGCGAGCTGCCCACCAGTTGAACACTGGCGGTTGAGGCTGTCGAGGAGGTACCTGCGGCCCCACCGCCGAGGGGAGGGACACACCGCTGCGCACCGGGCTTGCAGCAGGAGCCCGGGCTTTCCTCACTCTCGCCCTCCCCGCTGCCGAGTGGGCTCATGAGGTGATTCCCGAGCCCCGCGCACGCCTGCGAAGTCGGAGGCGTGCACTGCTGAGGAAGGGAATGGGGCTCCGCCACCCTGAAACGCAGCGATGACGAGGCAGGAGGGCCAGTGCTGTCGGACCTCCCTGGGTGATGAGCGGGGGGTGGGGGCGGGGGGGCTGGGAGATCAGACGTTGAGGCTGTCACCTGCAGGCTGCTTGTCCGGGTGATCCTGAGCCAAGTTGTGTCCCACGAACCTTTTCAAAGGGCGTGTTTCGGGACTTCCGCCAGTTCCTCCAACACTGAGAGCGCCCACTACCTATTTTAGAAGATGTCATTTTGCGTTCAGATGTTCTTACATAAGAACCAAAGGGTAACAGTGGGGGTTAAAATGAGTGACAAATTGCAAAAAGACATGATTCTTCAAAACTCATTTTCTTCAAGAATTTTACACAGGCTACTGCATATACCATTTATTAAAATACGATTTGGCTACTGATGCTTCATTTTCAACAACAAATAATCCTGGAGAGTATAGCTAGAAACTCTACCACCATTATAGATGTTTCTCTCTATCACTCAATGCCAGTGGGTAAAACAGAAACGCTATTTCTATACTCATTTCAGTAACAGATTTTCCCAGTTCCTGCAGTAAACCATTTTTTTATAGTTCGATTTTAAGAGATGCACAGTGCCTACTTTCTTCAAATGGCATGAGTTAACTACCCCCCCACACACACAAAGCGCTGACACTCCAGTAGTTAAAATATTGTGATGTTTTCTAACTAGTTACACAAAATGAGTAAAATCTCAGATGGCAGTAAGTATCTGTGGAATTCTGGAAAGAAATTTAGATCATTTAAGCAAGTCTACACTCAGAGGACACAGGTATATCATCTTCCTTTTGTAATCTAGGTCTTGATTGTGATTTAGAGTTTTTTCTCTGCTGCCCATGGGTAAAAGATATTGTAGTTTGGAGTACTTACTTTCAAATTGGTTCTAAGACCATTGCATCATTATTTCCATAAAAGGCCATTTCTAGCATTGGTAATCTATGGAGTAGCTTTATGTTTAAAAAAATATAATGGCTACATTGTGAATTCTTGGGGGGTACAGTCATAGAAAGATTTAAAAGTAATTTTGTCAAATATGGCTAATTTTAATAATGAACATTTATTGAGCACAGTGCTAAGTCCCTTACATACCTTTTATCCTCAACACAACTCCATCATTAGCCACATTTTACAGATGAGAAAACCTTAGCTATCACATTCACTTCCTGTCACCAAATTTATAACACATAATTCAATAAATGTTTAATAAATTAACAAATAAGGCTTAATAAGTAATTTCTGCTATTATGATACATGATTGTAATACAAGGTAACTGCAGAACATGAGCTTTTAAAACTAGTTAAAAGTTTATATTCATGTTCCAAAATAAGCAGGATGAGTGATTAGAAGTTTCCAGTGTATCTCATAAACTAAAAAGAAGTCTTAGAGCCATCATAGGTGTTCCTGAGCAGTACCTAATTAGAAACTGTGAGAATGTGGAAAGTGACCAAATTTGGCTGAAACACCACAAACTGTGCATCAAGACTGGGCTAGCATAGCAACCATACTGTGCATTGTATTGCAAGTAAGCTCAAAATGAAAAATTGCATAATGCGTAGAATATAAATCAGAACAAATATTAAACATCAGGTTGCAGTAAAAATGAAACATATTTCTTTCATGAAAAGACCACTGCCAAAGGAGATGGAAACAAAGGATCTCAGAAAAGAAGATTTTGAGGGTAACCGTGCATCAATTATGTTGCATATGTTCTTAGTTTCTCCTCCTGTTCTTGTTGCAGTCAGGAATTTATTTGGTCTAATCACCCAAGATAACCATAAAAACTAAGGACTAAGAATTACTGAGTCAAAATGTGGATTTGGAGTTTACTATCTAATAGACTTCACAGGACCTTAAGTATTTGTCCTAAATCCTCCTTGAAGGTCACCCTATGGAAAAATAGCATTTGCCTTTAATTTTTACGATGTGATTGACATTAATTATTTCACTTAATTTGTTCAGAATATAACTGGCTTTTCACTTTAAATATTCTTGATTTGAGGAAAGAGAAATGATTAAATCATTATTAACTTCACTTTTAGTCTTGATTCCAAATGACTTAGCTAAATTTTTCCTACATTTTTTTCCACAAATTTTCAAATAAGCTAGTGTTTAATTCTTTTGCCTGTTATTTAAAGTGTTAGTGTCTTGCTTCATTTTTGTTTAATATAATGTAATTATATATAAATTTTGGCAGCTTAATTTTGCCTTAATGCATAATGCATTCTCAAAGATTATGAGAAAAATTGTACTATCATAAAATACATATAAAAATTATTGCCCTAGTTGTTATGATAGTTCATATACGTTAAACAGCCTAGATATGAAAACCCAACTGTGATTCTTTGGAAGTAGCCTTAAATTATTTTTGGAAACAGGCATAGTAGAAATATTAATTAAATTAATTGGAGACATAATGTGAGATATTGGCAACCGTACCAAAATGAGTTGCTTTATGTGATCTTTATTATTTTTTTTAAAGTGATCTCTTAATTTATAGCACTGGTTGTGATAGTTTTGTCTCTAGATTTAAATAAATCCCTCTAGATTTAAAAAAACTAATTCTCTTGACCAAAATATTCTTACTTAAGGATTTTATAGTCTATGTAGTGATTCTAAGTATCTTCATAAATGAAATTTTCAAATGCTCTTCTGGCTGTAATCTAGGTGTTCACTGGATCTGAATTTTAAGGATGGTCAAAGAGCCTTTCATTAAAGGAAGATTTTTTTTTAATTTTATGTAGGGAATACAAACTTCATGTAATTTCATATATACAAATTTAGGAACATAGTGATTTTTCCCACTCTGCCTCTCTCCCATCCATACTCCTATCCTTCTTCCTCCTCCCTCTCTCATTCCCATTCTTATTTTTTACAGATATCTATTTCAGTTAACTTTATACTCATAAGATTAGCCCTGCACTAAGTAGGAAGTTCAACAAATAGTATGAAGAAAAAAGAAAAACAAACAAAAAACATTGTTCCTCAACAGTCAAGACAAGGGCTGTTCAAAATCATCCCAACACAAAGCATCAATTTCATTCCTATAGATTACCTTTTAGGTACTCTATTAGTTACCACAGATCAGAGAGAACATACAGTATTTGTCCTTTTGGGACTGGCTTATTTACTAAGTATAATGGTTTCTAGTTGCATTCATTTTGTTGTAAATGACAGGATTTCATTTTTTTACCACTGTGTAGTATTCCTTAGTGTATATGTACCATAATTTCTTTATCCAGTCTTCAGTTAATGGACATCTGGGTTGATTCCATATCTTAACTATTGTGACTTGAGCTGCAATGAACATGGGAGTACAGATGACTGTTTCTTATGCTGATTAGATTACCTTTGGGTAAATTCCCAGGAATGGGATGGCTGGGTCATATGGTAGGTCTATACCTTTGTCTCTTTGGGGTCAAAGAAAAGGGCAAATAATGGAAGTGTTTCTTCTGAAGCTTCAAGCTGATGATCTCAGACTTCCACATTTACCTTAATCTTTATTTACCATTTCTTCTGCTAAGACACTAACTCTTCATCAAACCTCAGATTTGACATGCAAGATGTGTTTAATGCTTTTAGTTATTTAACATTTATATAAAATGTCTTACAGATCCCTTTCTAGTAATTTTCCAAGTTTGCTTTGTGGGGAGCAACTCGGACTAGACTAAGTTACTGGAATTAAGACATTCTATGCATCTGCTCTCCCACAATATGGCGCTGGGAGAGGAGTAAACAGCTTCTACACAGCTGCCTCTCGCCAATTTGATTGACTGAGCTGCAGGAGCTGATCTTGCTCCTGATTGGAGGAGAGCAGCGTACTCGGTGTGTGGGTAGCAGAGTTGGGATTGGTGGAAGAGGACTATAAAGGAGGAGAGAGACAACATGCACCAGGAACATCTGAAGGGAACACCTGAGGAACATCTGAGCAGCCCCCGAGAGAGCCGGCTGGCGGTGTGCCGCTCCCCCGCGGAAGTGGGGAAAGTGGCAGGGGGAACCGCCCTTCCACGGAGGTGGAAGGGACGGTAGCCAACCCGGGAAGAACCAGCAGCAAACCCGGGGAGGGCCGAGCAGACAAAAGAACAGCTCAGGGTCCTGTGTCGTTCCTCCACGAAGAGGGGGAGCGACATGCTTAAATTTGTATTTTTGTTATAGCTATCTCTTTAATTTTCATATTTCTTGCTTTCTTAGTATTTTAAT